AAAATATATGGAAATAATTATTTCTACAAAAATACATTGTTCACAGGGTATATCCACTCAAACAGGTCATATGAAATTATTACTTTGATCTGTTCTCAAGGCTAATGTGATTCTTTAAGCTAGGGTATGTTCTAAAATCAAAACTGGATTGCATTGTTTTCTTCAGTAGTCAGAAAAATGACTAATTCTCTCTACATATTCTCTACTGAATATTTGTAAGGCATAAGATTAAATACATTAGGCATATATTCATTTACATAAAAAACAAACACTACTTAAAAGCTAAACTCAAAAACAATTTTCAGTTTCACACAGTACTAGCTGAGCAAGAAGCTGGAAAAGATCTAGCCATGTGCACTCAACCCAGAAAACAAAAAATGTCCTGGGCTGCATCCAGAGCAGCGTGGGCAGCAGGGCCAGGGAGGGGATTGTGCCCCTCTGCTCTGCTCTGCTGAGACCCCACCTGCAGGGCTGCATCCAGCTCTGGGGTCCCTGCACAGGAAAGGTATTCTGTTGGCATGAGCTCAGACTCAAGATGACTTCTGGAATACCTCAGTTGTGAAGAAAGGCTGAGAGAGGTGGGACTGCTCAGCCTGGGGAGAAGAAGGCTCCAGGGAGACATTACAGCACCTTCCAGTGCCTAAAGGAGGTCTCCATGAGAGCTGGAGAGGAATTTCTAAATTTCTAAGAACATGTGGCAATAGTACAAAGGTCACAGTTTTAAACTGAAAGAGGGCAAGTTAAGATTAGATATTAGGAAGAAATTATTCACTGTGAGGGAGGTGACACACAGAAACAAGTTGCCCAGAGACTTTTTGGATGTCCCATCCAAGGAAGTGTTCAAATGCCAGGCTGGATGGGGCTTTGATCAACTTGGTCTAATGGCAGGAGGGTTTGGAACCWGGTCAAATCTAAGATGCTTTTCAATCCAAATCATTCTATAGTTAATTTCTTTACATCTCAGTTTAGGGACAAGCCTGGTATATGTARGCATTAGCACTAATGACTGAAAGAAATTTTCACTCTTTTGAACCCATTCCTATTGAAAATTTAAATTGATAATTCTAAAAAAGATATGGATTTCAATCTGCTTTCATAAACTATATACAACTATAAAGATTTAATTTAGACAATGGTAAAACAGCAGATGATGCTGGAGTGTTATAGAAGATTAAACTTCAAATAGAAATTACGGTGCAAAGCTGTTCAGAACGTTTGAATGGCAGCAGCATTAAAAAAATCCTGAACTCCTTTATATTCCTTCTGAAGGATATAAAAGATATTTTTACATTACTTAGGAAACATTTTTATATCATATTAAAAATAGACATGACAGTGACTCTCATGGGAAAGAAAATCAGGACTAAACACAGAGACACAGCCATGAGGTAGCAAATTACCAAGGATAATCTCCTTTTCACAGAAAGTGTAAAATCTTTTTTTAAAAGTGTCACAACCAACTTCTGTAAACTTTGTAACAGCTGCACTTCAAGTTAGTTGGTGTTTTTCCCCAACACTTTTCCTAGGAAGCTTATCCAAAAATCTGCCTGGTACTATTACTACAAMTTTTCAATTCCCACTCTACAATTCTTATTGGTGAATTCATTTATGGGGGTTTCTTGTATACATTTTCTAAGTTACATAAGGCTATTTTATTTCCTCAGTGATGACTTTTCAAGAAAAACTTTTATCTGCAATTTTTGCTGAACTTAGTAAGCAAAGATATTTCTGTTTTCCCATAAGGCAGGCTCTATCAATTTTTATCACCTTAGTATTTTTCTTTGTGTCTACTCTAGACCAAATTAATTTTAAAAAAATTACTACTATCACTAACTGTATTATTTCAAATAAAAAATTASCAGAGTGTTGATATTCACATGCATGTACTAGAAATACACCCACAGTTCAGGGCACAATTAGTCTTTTCAGAGCTGTATTACACAGTCAAYGCACAGACAACTTGTAATCAATTAATATACTCCAATACTTAGCCTCTTTATTGCTTCCAATTGATGAGTCACCACCTGACAGCAGAAATTCTTGCCAGCAATCTCTAAGTGCATAACCTTGTACATATTCACCTGAATCTCATTCATTTTCCAGTTCTCCAACAGCCAAGGATATAAAGTCAGAATTTTTTGCAAGTTCTAATCCAGCTGCAATTTAAGCAGTTTTAATTGTTATTCCACATTCTAAAAACAATTACTATATGCTGGTCAGTATTTTTTTCATTCCTGTCCTTTCCTATTCCTCGAAGGTCTGTTTAAAATATTTCTTCAAGTAATTATCCATTTAATTCTAACATCTGAAATTCTGAAAGTATTACCCTAGCTTGGGTAATRCTTGGGTATTTAAAGAAATTCTTGGGTTTTAAAAGAAATTTAGCTTCAAATTTCAGATATCTTCTCCAAATTCCTGAGCAGTTCAGATTGACTGAATTTCTTTAGCTTATCTAAGCTCACGTTCCAAGTCAAGCACTTCACCTGAAGACATACTTTCGTTTTTCTTTACTAAAAACTAAACTGATCAACTTAATTAGAAGCCCTGATCAAAATCCACAATGACTGGTTTAACGGTAATRTCCTTATTATTTACACAAACTAAATATAAAATATAAACTAAATATAAAATAGTTCAAAACCCTGTTCAAAGGCTCTTAGTGCAATTTTTTATGTCCCTTTAGTGAAAAAAACAATTCATCCTTGAAGATCCCTCAAATTCCCTTTCTGATGTAAGCTTCACAATGCTTTGGACACAGACATGTTCTTCTCCATCTATGTATATTCACATAGATCACAAACTTTTTGAAACCATGGAGCATGGAGAAAAAAAKAATCCTTTTATTTTTAGTGGATAACTAGTATGTTCTCCCAAGTTATGGGAAATGTGACATAAATGAGCACATTGCAGAAAGAAGTGACTTTAGGTCTCTTTTCTGTGAGTAGTTTCCCTTCCAGGAACTAGCTCTCARCAGCTGATAAGCAATTGTTCAGTGACTTACTGTATTTGCAGTACCTTTTCTTTTTATGATGATTTCTTTTAACCTCCCTCAAGATGGCAGGATTCCTTGACCAGCAGGATTCCAATGCACAGAAAGGATACCTACATTTAACACAGCTCTGGATTCCATTCCAGGGAATAAGTGACCATAAATTAAGAAAATTACATTAAGAATCACTTAATTGGATCTACTCCTATGTGACTTAAAAAAGCTTTTCCCAGGCTTGGGAAAAGTTATAGGCTATAATCCAGCCTATAACTACACACAGCAATTTTAGATGGATTTGATTTTCAAAAGGAAGGGAAGTTCCAGGAAGGGAAGTTCCGGGAAGGGGAGGGGAGGGAAGTTCCGGGAAGGGGAGGGAAGGGAAGGGAAGGGAAGGGAAGGGAAGGGAAGGGAAGGGAAGGGAAGGGAAGGGAAGGGAAGGGAAGGGAAGAACCACAAAACCAAAAACAACACCCAAAAAAAATTCTACCAAACAAAAAAATCACCTCACAAGTAATAGCAACAATTATTTTCCTTCTGTGCTCAGTATCCAAGTCCTAGAAGTTCTACCCAACAATTTCCATTTCTTCATTCWTTTCTCCTAATGCTCCCTCTCTGACCATTTTCTATGATATGGTCCTCCAGAACAGATGACCAAATAATAGATATGAAGGTCTTGGAGATRACCACAGTTACTGGAGCAACCTAATGGGTCAAAGAACCAGGAATTACAGACAGGGTTAATGCCTTGGGTAGTCATTAGTGTACTATTAAAGAGCTGAAAAAAAATGTAACTCCTTGTATTGAAGAAGTAATTTCTCTAGAAGAATGACAATAAGGTTCATCCCCTCCCCTAGGCAGTTATATAAGCACAATTGGAATGGAAATAACATGCACCTGGTTGTGAACGATTCAGGTGATTGCTGGAATACATAACCACTTGTTAGAGCTTCTCATGGAGCGCCTGTGAGCTGATGCACTCTCTACTGCCATGGACGTGAAAACAGAATGTGCTGCTGTGTATGCACCAATCACTACAATCCTGCAGGGTGCTTCACTGTTCAATGATGCACTGCATAAAGCCTTCAACAACACGATCAGGGTCTCCAAACAGCCAAGACACTCTAGTTTCTGACTTACTATGCATCTGTTTGGCACAGATCCTTGAACTCCCACTGAAGATTTAAGAGGCTATTCCAGGAAAAGGCGTTTCATATACAGTGTGCCTTGGCATTGACTCCTGCATGAGTCAGTCATGAGTCCCAAAGCCACAGCACAAGCAATATCCATTAACCTCTTTAATTCATCCTCTCTAGCCTTGCACAGTCCAGCTGCCCTGTGATAGACAAACACTACCTGTAAGATAAYACAGTTAACCACACAGCACAGCTCAATGGCTCTGAATATAATCCTATAGCCTTCAGAAAAGTTTCGTTTTTCCTCATCAAAAATAATAAGGCTTTCTGAAAAAAACGGTTTTATACTGTTGTTTGAAAACTTTTCACATGATCAGGACTGCAAATAGCAAAAATTAAATAGAACTACACGCTCTCCCAACTTAAAAAAATTAACCAAGTAAAGAATTCTCTTGTTACAGGGAATTCTGTAATAACAGGGTAGAAATAGCAATAGGTTATCAAGGAGCAAATATTAGTAAAAAGATCAGGTAAATGAGAGCACTGGGGGAAAAAAATAGTGTTAATGCATTTGGGTGTGCATGAAAACCCAGGTCTTACTGTGAGTCCTACATCAGCCATACTAGCTATCTGGTAACACAACCTTGTCTTGACCAGCAGGGATTGTACATTGACATACAAGAAAGATGGCAGAAATTTTATACCCTAAACATAACAAAAATATGGAAATGGAGGCTTCAGTGCTCCGAATGACCTCCACGGGCAAAAAAAAAAAAAAAAAAAAAAAAGTGAGGAGACTAATTTTATTTTCCTCAGCAATCCTCCAGCTTTCTTACTCGCATATTGCTTTAATAACTGTTCCCTTCCTGCGTTTGAAGCGGATCAACCATCATTAGCAGACGGTCAGCTACAAGCACTGTAAGGTCCCGCTCAAGTCACACTGTCACCGCAAGAGGCCAAATCACCACTGAGGTGCAAAAGGCGCCGCATGCAAGTCGCCAGCTCACTCCTCTTGGCTGCCGCGCCACTGACGCTCACCGGCCCGGAGCCGCCGTGCCGCCTTTCCTTCCATGGAGCCCCGTGTGATGTGCACACCCCTGTGTGATTTCCTACAAGGAYTCATAAGTGCACTTCATTCCCGCACCCCATTTCATTAACACTTCCTCCTTTCTTTGGGTGCCCATTAGGACAGTCGGGGGCTGCTGTGGACACAGACTAGCAGGTGTCGGCTGGCGGGCACTCGCCGGGCACTGAAGTGTTCCTGGCCTCGCTCTATGACTGCACGATCGCTGAGTCTGGTCTTGTTCCTCGGGTCTGAAGGAACGCAAGTTTTGCACCATGCCCTACTGAAAGTTTTCTTTGCGTTCCCTTGATTTCCTCGGCCGCTTTTCTCTCGGGTCACAGCCTACTGGCGGGAGTGACCCCACCCCGCTCCATCTCTGCCAGTCAGRAGGCGAGAGGACGTGCCAGTCTCAGGTCCCGGCACGGCGCAGGCTAGCGCGGCGCTGCCCTCGTCCCTGCCCTCGTCCCTGCGACAGCCGCCGGCTTGGGTGCCGGAGTCCCGCGGTGACGGTGGGCGCAGCAGCCGCCTGAGCGCCCCGGGCTGCCCCCGTGTGCTCCCCGCGTCCCGAGGGCAGAGGCCGCGCTGGCGGAGCGCTTTCCGCCGCCGTTTGTCTCCCGTCTCTTCCCGTTCGCGGCAGCAGCTGCTGCTGCGCAGCCCCTTCCCCGCCCGCCCGGTCGCTCCAGTGCCGTCGCCTCCTCCTCGCAGCCTCGCACGGCGCGGCCCGGTGAGCTGAGCGGGGCCGGGACGGCGGGAGGCGCCGCAGCCGCCCGTGGGGCCGAGCGGGGCCTGGGCCGGGGGCGCGGGGGGCACGGAGGGATCGCGGCGGGGCGGCCACCTGCCCGGAGCCGGGACAGCGGCCGGGCTGCCCATCCGAGGGGCAGCCTCGCTGCTGCCCGCAGTAAGTTGGTGGTGCCGCCGCCGGCCTTCAGCACCCGCCGCGCCGGGGTCGGGCCTGGGCCGGCTCCTGGGGTGTCCGAAGCAGCGGCTGCGGCAGTGCTCAGCGTGGTTTCCCTACAAGGGCTGGGGCAAGGGCACCCTGCTTATTCCGGACTTTACTGTGTGCAACAGCTAATGTTTGTATGTGTATTACGGTCATGAAACAGATCTGATCTTGGGATCTTAATGGAATTACATGCTAGTCCGTGGTTTTCYATTGATCTGCTCGATCTCTTCCCTGTCAAAGCCATTTACACACTCCAGACCCTAACTGTGCTGGGAAGACCTGTTGACTTCAGCCCCRTGCAGTAGGGGTTTTAGGAAGTTAAGAAATACGTTGCAGGTAACATCCCCTCCCTTTTCATTGCAAGTTTTGTTTTAATGGCGTGTGTTAGTCTTGCTGCAAAAGAAAGAGTATCACATGCTGGTCATTCTCTCATCAACCAGTCTTTACTGGTTGGAAGTCATCAACTTCCATGCTACAGAAGTTGATCACTCGATGGCTGAAGTTGTAGAAGAGTTCATAGACAAGAAGGAGGCGGTACAGGAGCAATGATGCATCTTTGTGCGTTTCTTCTTTGGCAGCCTGGAGACAGTCCTTTGAATTTTCTGTCTCCCCATCTTAAGTGCTATTTTATTGAGAAAAACCATTTKTAAAAGTGTTTCTTTCAGCATTAATACTTTGGAGATCAGAAGCTAGCAGCAGATTTTTAAGTGTACCTTAATGTTTTCCATGATAGTTTCTCTGTCTGGTAAAGTGTTGGTTCCCCCTTCTCTGGGAGCAGGAACTTCTGGTATAGACTCTTGTCTAGGACAACTCATCTGGCTTTTCTCTGTCATCTTCTGCAAAGCTGACAGTCATCTAATATTTTTTCAAGATTCTTGGTAACTAATTCTCAAGTTTCTGTGCCCTAGTTTCTTGCTGCAGCCTAATTACTGTAATTCACATGGCTGCAGTATTCTGAGGGGATCACAGGTGATTTTTGAACAAAAGACATTGATAACCACTTATGCCTTATTTTCTTATTTTTATGTATTTGTGAATGAAGGGCAAGTTAGTTGAAATTCTAGACCAGATTCCAACAGAAATATAGGGGTTTGTGTTTAGTTCATCACTCTGAGAATTTTTAACTGGAGCTGTACRTCATGTTTTTAAGCAATTTTTTTGAAGATGGAATGACAGAAACTTAATACATCATAGAATTTGGATTTTATAAGAAATTTAGATACAGATAGGCATTCTTCAATCTTTTTTCCTTTGAAAGTGTATGTAATCTGTCTAGTCTCCTTAGCTGGTAAAACTTCAGTGAGTTCTGCATCCATAACTTGCATTCACAAGAATAGCTGACCCATTTGAAAGAGTTCATAAGATAGCAATGACAGATGGAGATCAAGAAAGCATTATCTGTGAGGRAAAAGGGAGAGATTTATTTAGTTCAAAGACAAGATTGAAGGGGAGCTAATATCTAATAAGTGCTTAAAATTGTAAAATGTTCTTGCACAGAAGAAAAGGAGCAATTTTGTTCTCAGTATTCACAGCAAATAAGGGAAATTACAACAAAATTTCATTTAAGTATTAGGTGAAAAGTTAATAAAAGATAAGAAGGCCATGGAATTGTTTGGAAGGGCTGTGAAATCTTCATCAAAGGTCTCTTAAGAGATTAGACATTTTCAAGAGAGACAATTTGGGCTGACTTGGAGAAGTCTTAGGACTCTGCTACTGTTTTTTCTGGGACTAAATAATAGAAAAGGCTTTGAAGGTCATCAAACAAAAGCCATGGAAAAACACAGGCGTTTTAAGTTCTGATGCATCTGCATGCTATTTTGGAGGCAAACATGAGTTCATACAAAGCAACTGACCTGAAAGCAGTACAGCCACAACACACATGRCTCAGTACTAAGATGAAAAGGCCCACTCAGGGTGGCACTATTTTTGGAGTTTCAAATGGAAAACATCTTTATATGGGCACTTTTTGCTGAAAGAGAACAAAATGCCTTTGAATAGTTTTACATGTAAACCAAGACAAATAAAACTTAGGAAAATATATCCAAAACATTATGGTTAAATGGCATTTAATAAAAAAAAATCCTATGTTCACATGCATTTATTTGAAGTTATCTACAAAACAAAAGTCAATGCCAGTGTGATGAGAAACATCACTTTTGCTGTTTTGTAGCAAGATGAATGTAGAAATCTCTGTGATATGTTAACATATATTTGTAGTTTCTCCTGTCATTTTTAAGAAATGTATAAGGAACATACATGCAGATTTTTAGTAGACCTACAGGAGTTTTACTTTTTAAATACTCCTAGGCCAGAAGAGCCCTTCAGCCTAAAAGTATCCACTTGAGTTGGATTTTTTCCCATGTATTTCACTATCAGCCTTCTTGGTTACACGAAAATACAGCTCATGCCATGTCTTTTATTACACATATAGTATGCACTCATTTCTCTTACGTAATTTTAAATAAAAGGTATATGCTGAACTAAGTCAAACTAACTAAATGACTAACTGTATGACTAACTAACTAAAAGACTTCATTTTGAACTAAAGTTTGGAAGGTATGATATAGATTAAAGGATTGTTTACATCATTTCAAATGCCAGTGATCCTTCGAGAGCCTTTGTTTGCATGACTTGAACCTTGTCTTTTAAATATAGCGAGTGTGTTTATTYATCAGTCCTTTATCTGATTGTTGAGAGGTCTATGCCCTGCTCCACTGAGCATCATAAGCCTCAAATGAAGCAGCTGTTCAACAGATAACAAAACATCCTTTTCTCTTAGGGGAACAGAATKTATATAGAGGCTTAAATATATCATTTGAATACAAAAATCCAGCATAAAAAATGATGCAAGGTATATATCACTTCATTTCAAGAGGGCATTTGAGTAGATGAGGATATGGCTGTCCCTGAAAAGAATGTCTGAGCTAGCCTTGTGTAAAAAATCTTTCTAGTCCATGATGGTTGATCTAGATTTTAGGTTCTTACTGAGCTGTTGGAAAATTTAATAAATTCTAGAAAGGTGTTACAAATTTGCGATGAATAAATTAATTAAAACAGCTTTAAAGTGTTTGATACTAAAGAATTTCGTAATCATTCTTTCAGTATCCTGTGGTGCGTTATGTTATAACAGCAAAGTGATTAAAAGTACTTCGAAAAATTTTCAGTCTGAATTTACTTTTTTTTTAAATGTCATTCATAGATAGGTTCATTATTTTATGCATTCCATTTTTGAAATGTGTATAATACAGAAAGTAGCAGCACTGATATATGTGGGTTAGTAAAAACTTGAGAGCTTAAGTCAAAGCATTTGAATCATTCCATTTTTGTCAGGAGCAAGACAGCATAAGTTCTTATCTTTTATGTGTCTCTTCTGAGATCTGCTTGGCTGTCTTAAGATACTTTAATGGACCCTTAAAAAAAAAAGATTTATTGTGGCATTTTGCTAGAAAATATTTAATGTTTGCCTTAATTTCACTTTTTAAGCTTAGGGTGGATCTGGTTGTTAAAAACTTCATGTGCTACTGAGTTCAGAGTCCAGTGTAGATACACATACATGCTTGTCCTTGTCAAACTGTGTTTCAAACCGTTGCACTTGTATAAAAAGCAGAAAATCTGAGGAATGAAGACTTCACATGTAAATTTAAGACAATGAGTTACCTCTGTGTGTGTTTCGTAGTTTTTGATTAAATCAGAAAAAAGGCAGAAAAAGGAATGATAGAAGTGGAGAAAATACAGAAGACTATATGTCTCAACAAGGCAAACTGTTCTCCAGACAACCTGTAGTGAGGACCTCAAAGTTTCTTTACTTAGTGAAAACGAAAATAATTTAAATSTTAAAATAGTTGCAAATTCGGATTTTTGGACTACGTTACTTTTGATACTGTTTTTTAGTTTTATATTCCAGCTTCCCCGTCAAATAGTGCTGTGAAATTCAGCACTCTGAGTACGCATAACTGTCATTAAGGGCTTGAGTTGGCATGTAGTTGAAAAAGATTTTCTTGTTTTTTTTGTTTAGCTAGCAGAAGGGGGCAAAAACATAAATATGTAGAAAGAAGAGCTGGAAGATCTTTGGAGAAAACATTACAAAAAGAGAAGACTTTGGAGAAAGGTAGAGAAGACCAGAGAGACGGTCAGGACACAGCAAGACACAAAGAGACAAAAATATTATATTTGTCCTTCTTTTTTACTTAATTTAGGTCCCTGTCTCACAAGGAGGTTAATGCATGAAAAACTTCGTTGAGCCAGTAGTGCTGATCCTTGCACAAAAAACAGTTTAAGAGAGCAAGCCTGCAGGGGCATATTAAGAGTTTTCATCATCCGTAGTTTTATGTCCATATTTATTTTTGTTATGAAGCATTATGTGTGTGTATGTTTATTTATTGTTTATGACAGCAATGACTTATTCACATAGTCTAGAAAAACTGTAGTTGTCTTTTGTCCAAGTATTGGACAAGTTTTTTCTTTGGCTGATTGGTTGGGTGTGCTTTATTTTATTTTGGTTTTAATTGTTTTGTTGTTGTTGCTTTCTAGTTCTTTTATGCAACCTGGAAATAAAACCAGCTGTTTCACTTTACTACTTAAAACATCCTGGTGTCATGCTATACAAGATCAGAGAATGTTTGTAAGTAAAGTATTAGTCTTCTCTACAGTGGTGAGAATATTTATGGATTTCTGGGTTGCAAGAGAAAAGTGGTAGTTTCCACAGGTGGCTGAATTGTATGTTTTGTAATCTTTGCAGGTCAACATACAGAGCTGAAAAATCACAAGTTGAAATAATGAACAACCAAGTCTGGTGTTCTGCATTGCTGGTTATGTAGGAAATACATAGCAAATTCTGTTTTTCTTGCAAAATGTCATGTAAAAAACCAATCTGAAGTAAGTGTAGCTTCTTCTGAGGGTGTTTGTAAGTTCTTCTAGTGCCATTTGTTTTAAATGAAAGAGAAGTCTTAAACTTAGCCTTACTAATCGTTTGGATGAAGATAAGTAGTATAGACAATTCCCTAGAGAGGAGTGTAAGAAGTAGTTTTAGTGAAGCTGGGTAGACAGTGATCACCTTCCTGTTCGGCAGCATGAAGGCTGGTGTTTATGGACACTGGACTACTAGCCTATGTACAGCATTACCATTTCAAACATAAAAATGAGGTTTGGTTTTGATGGTTTTAAAGCAGTTGTTTGTTTGTTAGTGGGTAACTCCTTGTGTCTAAGGTGTGTTTTAAAGATTGATTCTAATTTCCACTGTGGTAGTTAACTGTGCGTAAAATGTCCCTACATCAGGAAATWTTGCTCTTCATTTTTAAAAAACGGGCCATAGTCCGTGCACACAAATACAGAAGATTAGCCTGCCGTGAGTGGGTTTATGCCCTGCTTAGTAATTTATATTGTCTTTACTGGAATAAACAGAAGGATAATTACATAGGACAAAACCACGACAGAGTATTTCATACTGTTTTACAATGGCAATTAGTAATCATAAAGAGGTAGGGTCTTTCCAAATGTGTCAAAATGCCTACATGCAATGACCTTGAATCAGTTAAAAAGCAAGTAGGAAGTGCTGATATTTTTTATTAACACATTAGTAATGCAACAACATTCTTTTTCACACTGGAGAGGATATAGCCAATAGATGTAGAAACAAAGTTATTTTTTTAAGATCAAGATGGAATTAGTATTATCAATAAACCCCATTTTAATCACTCTGCTTACAGAGCTTGAGGTTCTGGAATAATTTTCACACTTTATATTTGGAGGGTTTTTTTGTACATGTTTTGAAGTGATTTTTATGGGGGAATTGGGAAATTTCAACTCCTTCCCTCGAAGAAATGTAGTGAATAGAAGGAGATGTCATTGTCCATGCCCCATGGTGGAGTTTTTAGTTGTGAGTGGAGATCCACCTCATTGTGCACATGACTGAAGTAGCTTCTCTAGTTATGTAGATAGCAGATAAAGAAAGTGTAATTTAATGGTGTATCTGAAGATTTGGGAGGCAAAGACACTAGTATGATAAGAAAAGTAATGTTTTCAGCATGTTGATTTTCACTGATGAATTTTAGACCACACAAAGACATACCTGAAAATGAATGGCAAATTGTAGAAGAAATTTTAAAACAAATGTTGAAGTTCACAAGTATACAAATACTGTATGAACACTTTAAATTAGAATTATATCTAAATTGAAGTACAGTTAGTCTCCACAGGTAGGAGGAAAACAATAGCATCGACGTGGCAAATGGATTTATCTGTCTTCTGTCAATACTTGGGGTATTTTTAGAACCTTCTGTCTTCTGTCAGTAGTGTCACTTTTAATTTTCAGCATAATAAAACTTKTATTCCAATCACTTGCATAACATAAGAGTCCACAACTTTCCACATTCATAAATTTTCACAACTGATTTTATGACTTTCTCACCAGAGTTTCCTTATATTTTTAGCTATTTCTGTAACTCTACTTCAGGTAGATAATAGTTATTATTTTAGTATTACTTAGTGAAAAACTACAGGTTTTTAAATATTTTTTTCTCTTCATTTGATCATATCATTGCAGTAAAAACTGTAAAATTGCCAGGATTACCTTGTTTCTCTGCTAGTTATTCTAAAAAGAATTTTAAAATTAATTTGAAACTACTTGTGGCATTTGTGTATTGCTAATTACAGTCTTCATATAAACTATAACTTACACTTTTCTGTCTTTGCTGAAAAATTATACCAGCTGACAGTGATTCTAAAAGTGAGTTACAGATATTCTTGGAAGGCCAGCAACTGCATACTTTCTGTTCTTTTAAACAAAACAAAGCCACCTTCAGACGCCTACATCTCCACAGTGGAGTTTGTCCAATGTTCTTCGATTCAGAAATAGAGAACTATTGACAGTATCTACCTGATTTTTAGAAACACATATTTGAGAGTTATCATTTGTTAATGTTTACTGAATTTGGGAAGCTGACTTCTGGCTACATTCAGAATTTTAAGAAAGCTTGCATAGATGTTGGGTATCAATACAATAAGTGTTTTTTTAATAGGTATCACAACCCGCAGCTGCTGCTCAGAAGTCTTGCAATGTATGGCATGTGAGCTTAGAAACCATTCCAGAGTGGGTAAAGTATGTCATTGAGAAAGGTAGATTTTTTTCCCTCCCTTGCATCTTTATAATTCAAATTATAAAGTTATTAAGGGGGACAAGTTTCAAGGACACTTTTCTACCAAGGTCCATGTGTGTTACAGAGACCTTGTAACTGAGGGAATTCTCAGGAACTTCTATCATTACCATTTACAGGACTATATTTTTTCCTCACTAAAATGTTKTTTCATTTTGTTTTGTTTTTAATATGTGCAGAAGTGCTACAAGTGATGAATTCTGTTTCCTACTCTATAACAGATCAATGTATTTGTGGTTGTCCAAATAACTGGGTTGGGCACCTCTAAGTATTTTCCAATGCTTAGTATTACCTTTATTACCTAAGTTTTGAGGTTTGCTTTGTTTCAATCATTGTATCTTGCAGTACAAACATGTATGTTGATAGTGACAGCAAGAAGCATGTTTCCCCATAAAAGTGGATTGGAGGTTTGTTAAGAGATCAGTTTTTGGAATATGATGTTTTATATTCTTAAGTTTTTTATACTTAATGTGCTCTTATGTCATAGAAATAGAAAGCAGATACTTTCCTGCAAATTCAAAAGTCTGACGACGAGCCAGCATTACTGCTTTTTAGTTTTAATTGTCCATTTGAAATTACAAACCATCTCATACATTTCCTATTATGCTGACTGCTTCAGTTGAGTATTTTCTTTTAAATTGTTTTAGATCTGGAAGTTAATGTTGCATAGATGCTAGTAAGCTGTGCTTTTCTTTTGCCTCACATATTTTCTTTTATGAATCTTTGATTTTGAGAAGCAAATTATATTTGCATTCCTTTCTCCTTAGACTTCAGTGTAGAATTTTACCATATTGCAAGCAATTTCTGTCCTAAGCAAATCCATGCTAAAAATGGTGCGCAAAGAGAAAAAGATTGTCGTCACCAAAACTAAGCATTCAAAAACTTAAAAAAATTTCAACTTACTTCATTGTGTTGCTCTATGTGGTTTTTTTGTTAAACATTAAACTTTTTTAAATTAGTGATCTCTTACACTTCAATGACATATAATAGAATAGTTTTTCTGCTTCAGAAACATTAATCTTAAAGGTGCATTGGAAAAAATTACCCCTCATTAGTTATTTCCTCACTTTACAATATTGCCTAATCATGAATCCCGAATCATAAGAATGCTTTTTTTTTTTACAGTAGTTTATCTCTTCTGTTATTTCAGTAAAATTGGATTTAGTATTGATAGTAATATTATCCTTTTCACTTTGGTTCTTAAATTATTCTTTTGCACCTTTAGCTTCTGCATTTGAAATCCTGGAGGGTCAGATTGGGGACTGAGGAAATACAAAACCCATAGACTGTGCAGAAAAGGCTTGTTGTATTTGCTTAAGCTTGCAGAGTAGCAGTTCTCCTCTGGTGAAAAAGAAAGAATACAATTCTTTATGTACACTTTCGACATCTTCATGTTCATTGTGTCACTTAATATCCTGGGAACTCATGCTTCATACACTGTCTTCTCTGGCAAGATCTTTGTTCTTATGGATAAGGTTGGGGAGGAGGGGAAGGGGGGCAAGGTGTGTTAAACCATTTTGATTTATTTCCATATCCTTCTGAGCTCTGAATAATTTTGTGATCATGTGTTATTTTCTCCTGTATGACTCCTGAATCAAAGGCTAAATCATTTTACATAAGCGAAAGTCTATTTACAGGCTGTAAAAACCCACTGCTTCCCAGCCGGTTCTTTTTTGCCATCTGTCCCTGTTCTTAACCAATCTTCTTGAATTTCATATACATACTAGTGAATAGATAATAGTCAATAATTACAAATATCTATCCAGTGTAACAAGTGACCTTTTTTAACCTGCATTTTCTTTTACCCTTCACTTATCACGTGTTTTGTTTTCTTTTTCTTATAATTTCTATTTTTCCCTCTTTTTGCGGTCTGTCATTAAATCTGTGTACCCTTAGCTTCCTTTCAGATCTTGCTAATTTTCCCCCTACCACCTCCTCCACTAGTAGGCTGTTATTTCTTTTACTGAGTCAATGCTTCCACACACAATTTCCAAACTCACGCTAAATCAGTCCCAGGCTCCTTGGTACCCACACCATATCTCTCAGTCTCTATGCACATGGGAGATAGAATGTCCTTTTCCCTCCATATTGTGTCTTGCATTTCCATTTTTTTCAGTCTTCTGGCATTCTTAATTTTCATTAATCACTTTTCTTCTCCATTTGAAGATTAAGGATACTGTTCCATGGCAGAAAAACTCAAAAAGCACCAGAAAGTGCTTTTCCTTTAATTTCAGTGTCTAGCCCCTGGCATCTRGAAAATAGAGTGTGGGAGACTTAGAGTAAATCTCTGAATGAGCTTGATACTTCTTTGGGAATGGCATATGCAATCATTGTTYGGCCTTGTAAATTGAGAGAGATTGTTCACAGAATTCTCAAGGATTTGAAAGCGTTTGGTTATATGCAAATTATTTTTCTCTAAGTTAAAATAAATCTTTCCATATTTAAATAGATTCTCATAGATACAATAATGTACATTCTTTGATATTTTTGTAATTCTGAGGTTTTGACCCACAAGGCAGGAGTCTCGAGTGTTTCCAGAATTACTTCTAGCATTGTGTGAAAAATAACCCTTTTTCCACATACTGCTGGGTTTTTTTCTGAAACTGCAAAATTGGTTTTCCTGACATTTTCTGTGGCTTTCAGTTAGACAAGCATCAGTTATGGGCATATCTTCCCAAATCACCTTGAAAGACATTTGCAGCAGAAAGCAGAAAGCAGTGCTTATTCTAGAAATGTTGGGCAGCTTCTGTATTCATGTCTCTTTAGACACACAAGTGAGTAAATATAATTKGAGTTGATAATGTTGTTTTTCATCTGGGCTTTGGTCCTACAAACACTTGCATRACTTTAGTCCTCAACAGTGCTCCTGACAGATTAATATAATTGCTGAAAATACTAATAGTTATGCAGGAGGACTAATAGTTGTTTAAATATGTAGAATTATATAGATATTTGCTGTGTATTTCCTTTTGAAGAAGGATTGAAAAGAATTTCAGAGAATTATAAATTATGWAAAGACTGTCTCCTTATATGTAGAGTATTAAGGATGTGTCTTGGTGCCTGCACAGATTATGTTGTAATGCTGCATACACCAAAATGCAAGTACCATTTTAAGCTTTTGTGGGGTAATCAAAGTGAAAAGCTATGTTCTTTTTGTAAGAAATCTCTTTCCACTGTACTTAGTATGCAAGAAATGTATCAGCACTCAGAACACTCAGCTGAGAAGCTGTGCCAATTCCAGATTAACGTGGGAAATTGATTTTACTGCTTTAAGGATGTAATATTTTTATTATTATTGTGACATTATTCTATCTATGGACAAATTTTAAATGTATTTCAAAGCTCCTACATTTTGAAATGTGTGTTCTAGATTTATTAGAATTAGTTACTACTGTAGCAAGCAGAGTTTTGACCAGTGCATTAGTTATGGTGGATTTTCTTTCTGCTCTGATTTTTATTGTATTTGCAAAACAAAAAGAAAAGCTTCTTACTAAAGGAGAAGATAACCCCAGTAATTATTTCATACTCATTTATTTTCAGTGAACATGTTGGGTGTTTTATTTTTTTCTTTTCTTATCAATAGGCACAGTGGACAATTGGAAAACTTCACTGTCCCTTCTGTAAGGCCTGCTAAGGGGGCTTTAACTTCGTTTGCAACGAAGAATATTCCTGTGGACAGTTAGTAAATAGAAATTACTGCAAAACTGGGACTGGAACTCAACCACCTTTCTCTGTTACATTGTCAAAATCACCAGAAAAACATTTGCTTCTCAGAATTCAGTCTGGTTTTAACAAGGATACCTGCCTTGAAGTGGTAACTGCAACTTTGGAAATTAAAAATCAAAGGCTTTCCTACGYGGCTGGAAGTAATAATGGTGCTGGAAGATTAACAGAAGCACTTTGTCTGGAAACAAGAGCTCCCAGATATGAGATTAAAAGTGAAAAACTTCCCTTAAAAGTATTAAATAAAAAAAGAAATCTCTTGTCTTTCTATTGTATGAAAGTTGTATGCACTGTAAGACCTTTTCACAGAAGGTCACATAGCTTGGATTTAAATATCAGAGAAAGGCTTGTTTTGTTACCTCAATTATATGAAACTTGCAGTATGGGAACACTTTACCCTGGTCAAAATGAAAATCCACCTGTTTATGCGCAAGGCGGCTTGCAATTRGAGTCCAGTAGGAAAGATGATAGTTCTTTTCAGGATCTGTATAGTTCCAGGACTGATATAGGACAAAACCAATTTCAGGTTACTTCCATTGCCACATTTACACACAGAGAAACAGAAAGTGAGTGTGGTTTTGAAGCTACTGGACTATCTTCTGGGAGTGTCATTGCTGATGGGTCACCATTCATGATGAACCTTTCTTGGCCTACAAGGGCTGTAGAAGACAAACAGTGCATCACACCTGTTCGTCTTGTGCAGCCTACGAGTATTTCCTTCAATCAAAAGCTGAGTAAAAGTGGAAGWAACAAGTCAAAAAGCTTGAGGAGGAATCAAAGAAGGCGAGAGCTAAGTCTACAGAAACAAGTAAGTGTTCTAAATTAATTATTCTACTTTTTTTGTAAAGTTTGGCTTGATTTTATAAATAAGTCTGTCTCTTTTTTTCAGTGTTTTCTCTTAATACTGGTTTAATGTGGAACTGTCTAGAATTTGGTATCTGGCAAGTTAAGATTTATTACCTCTACCTGTATTAAGTTTTTTTCTAATTCAACCATATCAGGTTTTCTTTCTGTGCAAAATCAAGCTGTGGTGGCTTCTGATTGGCCTTCTTAGTGTTTTGTGATGTAATAATCACGAAGTGATTGAAGTGGGAAAAAACAGTGACATTTAATCAATGTGATTAAAGAAAAACAAAACATTTGAATCTTCTAAATGAGAAAAGAAATCCTACAATGTCAGAATTTTCAAACTTTTAGCTAATGGCATTTTGAGTTAACTTTACAGCTAAGATTGCTTTAAAAGATAATTAACATTTACTGGTTTTGGCCAAATATTTTTCTGTGAGTAAAGGTTGCTCACTGATAACTGCTATTTCAGTTAGTCTTTAGTAGGTAAATACTTTTTCTGCAAATCTAACAGAAACTTTTTCATATTCTTATCAATTATAAAATAACGGTTTCTTACGTCAAACCATCCAAAGCAGAACGAATTAAAGGCCATAGGTAGTCGCAATTTTTGGTGGAGGGCTGAGAAGAAATGCCAGTCTTAAAATGACTATTGGTTTTGGTTTGCTGTCAAATTTAGTAGAATGACTAATTATGTATATGCCTTTGAAAGAAATTTTCTTAAATTAACTGCACCAGAATAACTGTGTGGTAAGCAAGGATAAACATAACAACTAATCAGAGAAGTCTGATGTCTTGGTTTTGTAAGACAGGTGCTTGCCAATGAAAGCAGGGACCCTCCTTGGAGTGGTGGATATGACCCCCCTTCCCCCAATGATAGCAACAACCAACCCAGCYGCAAACCCAGTGACAGCCTCACACACAGACACAGCCTCCCCTTTGGTGCAGTTACCGTCCCAGCTGGCAGGGGCGCTGTTGGCTCTGGCCACGGTCCATGCGATGATTCCCCAGCAGCTGCAGGGGGCGCTGTGCCGCGGGTCCCGGTGGGTTCAGATCTCCCACGTGGCTGATGRCGGGCATAAACCGGCAGAGATGGATGGAGAAAAGTTCCTCTACAAACTCACAGCGGAAAACGCTGATCCTGATGCTCCTCTGGATAGCAAGGAGCCTCAGAACGGCCAGATGGGCAAAAGACGAGCAGAATCCCAYGGCTGCAGACGGGATGCAGCAGATCTCGACCACTGTAGCTGGAATCGCAGGGGTCCCCGGCAAGGCACGGGGGCAGAAGATCACAGTGCAGTGAACAGGAACCAATGACCGGAGATGCTGGGTTCTGCAGCAGCAGGACCACCGTCCTCCCTGAGCCAAGCTGGGCAGGAAGTGAAGCTATCCCCTGCCGCATACACACACGCCCTCCCCGAGCCCAAAACTCCTGCAAGAACTTCCCTCTCTCCAAAGAGAGGGATTAAAAAAAAAACCTGCCAGCTAGGAGCAGTGCCCAGGGAGACCCTTTGGGTGGGGCAAAGGTTCTTTTGTCTTCCCCAATCGCCCAACCATCAAAAGAGTGACTTGGCAATCAGTGTATCCCAGCAACAAAATGGGAAAGAAAAAATCCCCAAGAAAGGAAACAAAAGGAGAAACCTTAACCCACAACATCTGATTATTCCTAAAGGAATTGCTCCTACTTCAGGTACGTTTGTCATTGTGAATTCAACATTAAGAGAGATACTTAGAGGCTCTTTCTCTCAATTAAGAGTGAGAACCAGCTTGAAAATGTAATGGATCTGGGACATATTATGAGTCTTTTCAGYGTGGTGTGCATTTAATCTTTCATCTTTAGGAAGGGTTAGGGTTTTTATTTTTCTTAAATATTTAAATTGACACTGACACCTTTTGAAAACATTTTCTTGTTTTGGAAAATGCATCTCTAAAGTTGAGAGTGTGGCCCTCTTAATATTGAATACTTGTTTCCTAATAAGTCTAACAATTCTTAGCTAAGTCCCTAAAATGGTTTCAAAAATTGCAGCTCTCATTATTTTGGTAAATGAAATGATGATGCACAAACACTATGTATATGAGCATTTTCACCGTYGTGTCATCTACAGTCTCTCCAGACACTTTAATCTTTAGATGTTACTTTCAAGAATAAAACATTGTTCAGATTTTTAAATTTTCGATAGCTAAGAAGATACTTTCAGAGCTTCTTATTTTTCAAACATGTTTAATCAATTCCTACATTATTTTAGTTACATTTGTTAAGATTCCATTATATTGGAGAGATGTCTCTGCCAAAATTAGGCTGTAAGCCTAGGGACCATATGCTAAAGTTGATAGTACGGATTTCATTTAACTATAGATGGGAGCTAAAGGAAAATAGAAAGAAATAGAAAAAGAGAGGAGGGGAATGACAAAGAGTAACAGAGGGGCAGTTTAAGTAAAAAGTTATCACCATCCGAGGATCCAGACACCATCCCATTGGTCCTCTTCTGGTCTACTGAGTGGTGGGGATCCAAGGTCACTCAAAACTTGTCCTCATTTATACATTTTAGTAAACAAAAGAATCAATGCTCACTGTGTAGGCAGTTCTCCTACTCTATTGGTGAAATGATTCCCCACTTCTAATGCTAAGGAGTCCCCTGCTCAATCTTCTTTTGAGTCAGTTGGCCATGGCTTCTCCCTTCTGGTCCCCGTCGAGCTGATTGTCAGCACAGTTATTGAGTTGACTTTCCTTACATCACCTTGTGGCTCTAATACTATATCCAAAAGACTTTTGCTCGATTCATAAGTTATCCATGGGAGTGATGAAAAAAGTAGAACGCAGTAGAAAAAACAGAAAGAGCAGAAGCAATAACACAAGTAATCATACAATATACAACAGCTATGCCAGTCTTTTTTGTATTAAAAACACAAATCCAGCTGTAATTGTCAACCCAATTCTGGTTAGCCACTGCCCCTGCTGGGTGATTCCCAAGGATCAGAGTATGTTTTAACGGGTAGTGGGTGTGATGGATTCCACAATACTGTATCTGTTGGATGTGGGCCCAAATTAGCCATAGAATTACATAGTGGGTCTTGATTTTTAAATCCCGTAGAGAGGTATCCCCAACAGGTACACATACCATGTATTAAGATGCATCAGTTCAGCCTAATCTGAAACAGATCTTCAGGTGCCTTTGTACAACTGATTACCTCTGCACACTGGAATCAAGTTTGACGGTTGGCAAGGTGTGCTTACATATTTCAAAGTCTTTAAAATAATGTTCTGTCTCGACCACATTCACATGTAGTTGGAAGAATTTTATAGGTAATATTCTTGTCTGGCTGGGCAATTCTATAAACCATAGAAAATTAACTTCTAGCTTGCAAAATTTTCATTCAAAATAKAAAAAGTTCTTATAAAAACATGTTTATATCAGGTGCATACTCTGTTGTCCAGGGGATGGAGTATTGCTCCATTTCATTTTAATAATCCTGACATAAAACAAACTTTCAAATTTAGTTTTACTATCCCAAGTTGCTTTTTTTCTCCCTTTTTTTTTTTTTTTTAAGAAAAGAAATTTTAGGGGACAAATTGCCCTCATCACATTCCTTTTTAATTGCTGCCACAGTAAATTGCACCCACAACTGAGAAGCATGTGTGGTGCAGCATGTGCTGTAGTTACCATATTGATTAGCATAACTAAAAGAAATGAGGTGAAGACAAAATACTATTAGGACACATAGTAGGAACCCCAGTTGTACATCAGACTTTTTCAAGTGGGAATACAAGTCTCTGATTTGCTTTGGAATGTTTCATGTTMGATAACATATAGGTCCAAAAATGGTCACAGGTAAAGTTGCTTAAGAGTTGGTAAAAGTTTTCTTAGTATTTTACCCACATCCGGTTTGGAGTCCATGGCTATCTGTCCTRATCTGGAAAGGAAATGGTCACCCATTTCCCATGTAACACTGTCTTTTGTTTTGTTAGGGTTATTCAGTTCTCCCATTATTGTCTCTGAAAAATTTAGCCAAATCATATATCTAAAGCCTTTTGAGGCAGAACTGATTAATACATACTTGTACGATTCCAAATATGTATAAATTCTAATACTAACTCCCATTTGATTTAGACAAAATTACACATTCATAAGGCAAAAGTAAGAGCTCTTCCCACACCATTTTTTCCCCATAAAAGACAATAAACTTGGCAAAAATCAAACTAACAACACATAAAGTGGTTTGACTAATATATGGTCCCCCAACATGTCACTTGCAATGAAAACACAAGCAAATAACAAACATTAATAAGCTGATAATAGAAGCAGTTAGGGTGGCAGTTATAAGTTTCGTCMGTTCCACGCAGCTCCATCTCATCTGTTGGCAGGTTCCTATAAAAAGAAAAGTGAAAATTTGGCCTACTACAGACAGATTTTTAGGAGGAAGGGATATCCATCCAGTGGGTTTTATTCAAAGGTCCTGTGTCTATCACAAAGGTAAAAGGGCCTGAAGGAAAAGTCATCTTCTTGGCTGTCTTCTGTGAGCTTTGTCAGGTAAATCCACAAGCGTTCACCCACTTGGAACTGCTTCTTTTSATCTTTGGTTTGGGCAGGGGTTGCTGGCCCTCCTGGAAGAAGGAAACAACAGAAACTTCCCTGGCAACGTATCCCCTAGTGATTCAAATTGTTTAACTGCTTGAGTTTGTTACATCTCAGGGAGAGTTTTAACTTCTGTTTCATRAAGCGTTTGATGCGTTATTCTTGTTTCGTCCCTCATCTTTTCACAGGGATTTTCTCCAATTATTTTCATATCTGTAGAGAATGAGACTGTAAAAATTTGGAGAAGTGCAATCACTTGTGAATTACAGTGCTTTAACATCTTAACCTGGATTTCTTTTAGGGTTAAGATTAACAAACTTCAGCTTCTCAGCCAGGAGCCATGAATTAACCTTATCAGTTTGGCCGATAACAATGGCTCAATTTACCT